AAAGTGCCTCTGAAGTAAATGGCACAGTGTCATGCTTCAGCACTGATCAGATGATCACTATAACCTCTGGGGCTTTCAGACCTGACCAGAGATCAGACACAAACCAACAGAACGAATCCCACCGCTGAGGACACAAACGCTGAACAAAACGGTGAGAAGTTGTTGATTTACAGTGATAAAAGCTGCTGATGAGAGTACAGGAACATCAGCTACTGTATTATTCACTGCTACTGGTAAAATATTCCTTTGAATCCATGTTTAAGTAATGGGAGACTGTGGAAAGGATGATAAAGATAAAGCAGCGGAGGACAAGAATAGAGATGCTGTGGACAGGATGAGCAAAGACAGGCAACAACATGGAGAGATAAGAGAGAAAGATTGAGAGGTAAAGAAAGACAGACAGGAATAGACTGTGGCCTACTTGCCCTCATGCCGCCTAACTAGTGGCCACTGGTACACAATAACACACACAGGTGACACCTATCTAGTGCAGACACGCTTCCCTCGGCCAGAAACCCATAGGGAACAACACAAACCAAATAAAATCATAAAGGCTTGAATACCTCAGGTTAACGTGAAATCAAAATCGACTGTGTTATTGTTCAAAAGTTTCAGGGTCAGATTTTTTTTTTTTTAAAGCAATGAATACTGTTATTCAGCAAGGACGCATTAAAGGGGTCATATGATGCGATTTAAATTTTTCCTTTCTCTTTGGAGTGTTACAAGCTCTTGTTGCATAAAGAAGATCTGTAAAGTTGCAAAGATTAAAGTCTCAAATCCAAATAGATATTCTTTATAAAAGTTAAGAGTCAACCACGCCTGCCTAAAACGGCTCGTTCTAACACGCCCCCACATACCTACATCACGATCTGGGAAGATTTGTCCACTTTTCGGAGATCATCTACTCTTCCCTGTGAATGACCTCTGACCTACTTTCTGTACGATCTGAATTTCTGCGTTTTGAATTTTAGAAAATTGAATTTGATGTTCCGAATTTCTTCTTCATCTTGAAAACTTGAAGCTGTATTTTTAAAAACTGGATATTTGCAGTCTAAGAATTCAGAACAAAAAAATCTGTTGTTTGAAAATACATGTCTATAAAACTCTGCCTTAAAAAAAATCATTTGTGTTAAATTTCAAATGTTAAATATTCAAGTAAAAAAAAAATTCAAATTTAAAATCAAAATCAAATTCAAAACGATTTTAAATCCCACATAATATTCAGTTTTGTTAAATAACACTTGTCAATAATTCAAATTTAACACAATTCAAATTCAAATTGTTTTGTCATAATATTAGCTCCATAAGAATGATGCTACATGTTTTAATAATGTTTAAAAAAAAAAAAAAGATCCATATAATTTATCATTTGATAAACGAGCTTAGATATTGACTAATACACACTGAAACTCAAAGGTGTTTGTGAAAAAAAGGGTAATATAAAAAGTATTAATATTGCAGTATAGTAAAACGTACAACAACAACAATAATAATAAAAACATTATATTATTAATAATGTTTTTCATCCATGTTTTAATTTATTATATTATTATTATTATATTTAATTTATTATATTATTTATTATATAGCTTACTCTGTAGAGTAAAATTATGTTTGCAAGTATTTCTGAGGTCTAACAAACATTGGGGATGGAGATGCATTCCACTATGATGGTATGAAATTCATATTAATATAAAAATAAATGTTTAATTATATGGAAAAATATTGTAATAATATTTTGATCATATTGGAAGGAAGCAAGCAAACAATTAAATAAACAAATAATAGCATACATATATTGCTACTGTATAAAAAGTACTTCTTAAAATAATAATAATAATAATAATATTTATTTAAAAGTTACATTGATAATTATTATTATTATTATTATTATTATTATTATAAAACCAAGATATTTAGGTCTAAAAATTATGAAATTATGTTATTGAAACCATTTATGTGGTGCATTATTGTTTTATTTTCTTTCTTTTACTTATTTATCTTTTTATTTTTAATCTTGACTAAAGTTATACTTAGCAGTTGAAAAATATAGATCCATTTTGTTTCTATTTTGTCTCTTGTAAGGAAAACATATGATGCTTATTTTACAGTAAGGAGAGAGAGAGAAAAAAATCCTGAGGTTCAGTAGCTGCACTCACACTCAGTTGTTTAAATATTTCAGTGACATGTCCACTCTGAATGTCAAACACAGAGCTCGTCTGTGGAGGCCTGTTGGATTCGTTCCTGAAGAGTCTCTTAAGAGCTGCTCTGTGACTGAAGCAGCTCAGCAAAGCACACCTTTACAAGCCACCTAACTGGAAGCTCTGGGAACCCACACACAGCCAAGCCTCATTTGTCTTGCTGAAAACCTGCTTGTTCGGCCCAAAAGAGAGTAAAATGGGATTAATTTCCATCCCATCCTAGTCCGATTCAATCAGCTCTCATTGACTGGCTACTTCCCCTCACAGACGGCACAGATGAGATCTGGACACTGCTTAATTTCACTGTCTGTTGTACAGTTGTGCTAATGAAAACGACAGCTGCCTGCAGATGACAGGAAGCAGCTTTGAGAGGGGAGGAGTGAGCTATACCAGTGACTCTGGAGAGACCTAAACCTAATAGAGTTAGATAGCAGTAGCAGTGAAGGGTTGTCAAATTGCCAAAAAATAAAATAAAATAAATAATAATAAATCTAAATTAATTAATTAATTAACAATAATAATACAATGATTATTATTATTACAGGGTAGCAGTAGCACAAGGGTTTTCAAATCACCAAAAAAGAGAATTTTTTTTTTAAAGGGGTCATATGATGCGATTTTATTTTTTCCTTTCTCTTTGGAGTGTTACAAGCTCTTGGTGCATAAAGAAGATCTGTAAAGTTGCAAAGACTAAAGTCTCAAATCCAAAGAGATATTCTTTATAAAAGTTAAGAGTCAGCCACGCCTACCTAAAACGGCTCGTTCTAACACGCCCCAACATACCTACGTCGCTCTGTGGGAAGATTTGCATAACGCCGCCCAAATGTTCACGCAAAGAAAGAAGGCGTAACTTTTATTCTCGCTGTAGTATTGTTGTTGCCGCCGCCATGTCGTGAAGGCGCTGTGTGTTTCGTTGTGAAAGCGAAACTACTTTGTTTGGTCTTCCAAAAGAGGATGATATCTGCTTCGTCATGCCTGGAGCTGATCCGTGCTGGTCGCTGAGGAAATACATCAACTTCGCGCTGTGGATCGCCGGATTCGGCTTTCACCGTGGACGAAGCGGAGTCCAGCCCGGGGTCGTCACATGTGGTTGCCGCAAGCCCTCCGGACGCTCCTTCGTCGAATCCGCCGCCTCTGCTCACTCTAGCCCTCCGGCCGTTCCTCACTCTAGCCCCCGGCCTCTGCTCACTCTAGGCCGCCGCCGCTCACTCTAGGCCACTGTGTGTGACGTTGTGTTTCGTTGTGAAAGCGAAACTACTTTGTTTGGTCTTCCAAAAGAGGACACGACTACAAATCAGTGGTTAAGTTGTATTTACAACACTGTTCCAGAACACTTCAACCCAAATATTCAGATGTGTGCAGCGCATTTTATGGAGGACTGTTTCCTGATCCTGGTAGAGTAGACTACAATGCCGGCTGTTCTGACTCACAGACTGTAAGTACTTTTTTATATTTAAGGGATTTACTGATGATTCAAACGTGAGTTTTGGGCAGTGTAGAGTAGCGCTTGTTGTTTGTCATTTCTCCGATCACAAATGCAGACATGGTTTTATGTTTACGCGGCGCGATGCAACGCAACGCGTAAAAAGACAGTATAAGTCATTATAATCTGTAATTATGTCCCCACTGGATGCAACAAATGCCTTGTTTGTAATGGGTTTTAATGTTTATGTCTCGTCGCTCCGGCTGGACATGGCATCAACAGTTGTGAGGGGCGTAACATTTCCGTCTCACGCTTGAGGTATTCGGCCAATCACAACGCACTGGATAGCTGGCCAATCACAGCACACCTCGCTTTTTTAGACCGATGAGCTTTGTAAAAATCGACGCGTTTCAAAAAGGCGGGGCATAGAGGAGAAACAATAATGTACAGTATGTGGAAAATAATGTGTTTTTTGAACCTTAAACCGCATAAACATTTCATTACACCAAATACACAAAATAATGTTCTTTTTAGCAGCATCATATGACCCCTTTAAATTGATCAAAAGTGACAGTACGGACATTTGTAATTTTTAAATATAATTACAAAATAATTCTATTTCAAATAAATGCTGTTTTCTGAACTTTCTATTCATTCTATAAAGAATCCTGAAAAAAAGAAAAAAAAATTCCACAAACATATTAAGCATATCGGCAAATCAGCATATTAGAATGATTTCTGAAGGATCACTGAAGACTGGAGTAATGATGCTGAAAAATCAGCTTTGATCACAGGAATAAATTACATTTTAAAATATATTCAAATAAAAAAAAAGTTATTTTATATTGTAAAAAATATTTCACAATTGTACAGTTTTTACTGTATTTTTAATCAAATAAATGCAGCCTCGGTGAGCTTAAGAGACTTTTAAAAAATTCTTCAAAATATTACAGACCCAAACTTTTGAACAGTACTGTACTTTATAAATGTTCCTTATTGTGAACGATTCATCAGTGCACATTATTCCAAAGAAAAAAAAAATTTCATAATACTTTATCAAAATATAATAACTTGTTCTGCCTCTCAAATTTCAACCACATGATTCATTTTGATAAGTAACGTCCACTTTTCAGCATCCAATCAATTCCTGATGGATAAAATCAAGTCCCATCCTACATCTTTTCTTAATGAATATCCTGTTTCACACAGAAATGCGTCATATTATGAAAGTAAAATGAACTTCTCATGCATTTTCATGCCATTAAAAAAACAAAAAGTCCCTACTACCTGACAGATATCACTGAAATAGGCATCCTGCAGTACAATAACAAATCATCCCCTGACAAAAACAAGAACAGAGCTGATTCTCTTCTCACATGCTCTCGCAGAAGCGCGCCAGTGTGCTCGGTTTCTCCTGGTTGCGTCGATGTCTGAACCAGCGTTGGATGGTCCTCACGTCCCAGTCCAGCTGCTTGGACAGACCCTCTAACCTCTTCTCATCGGGGTGCTGGAAGACACAGCAGACAGAAGCGTGTCACTGCAGAGATCTGCCACAGTCAGAGCACAAACAAACCGCCTCAATGTGGATTTAACAGCTTGAAAAATCCACTCGGTGCACATTTAAAACCGTTGTCTTTAAAAAGCCATCTGCACATACGAGCGTAATCATGCTGCAATGTCTGGAGTACTGGGGTTTCCATTGTGAATGAACCAATCTTTCAAGCACTTCCTTGCACTAATTCGTGATTCCCTCCTTTCTAGGCACGTTTCATTGATTTTTCGAGCTCACTGAACCCCTTTGAACTTGTCTGAATGACTCAGAATGGCACTGAAGAAAATGCAAACAGAACGAACGAAGCACGTCATTGACGAACGAGGATCTGCTGACCATCAATGACTGAACAAAAGAGGCCATACGTTCATTCAGTTCACATGCAAGTGTATTCAGTAAAACAAGGGGCGTTAGGAAAACCAAAGCACAGTTTTAACATTTATGAATCTGTATAAATGGCTGATGATTATACACTATTAGAAATAGAATGTTGTCAATGGCGAGCGTAATAGTTAAATTATTATCCAAGACTCTAAGGAAAAAAGGTACAATATCTTTCACTGGGTCGTAATCTTTTCAAAAGGTACACCCTTGTACCTTATTTACCTCTTAAAGGGTGCATGTACCTTTAAAGGTATATATTAGTAACTAAAATGTACATATTAGAAACTAAATGGCATATATTTGTATCTTTTAAAAGGGTTCAGCTGCAGTGACAGCTTTTGTACCTTTTTTATCTAAGAGTGCAGCACTATTAAAGGACATTACTGAAAATCATCATTTATTTATTTGGTTATTGGGTTTTGTTTATAGTTTGATCAAATAAAGGGGAAAATATGCTTTGTTGACATTTTCTGAATAAAATGAAGAAAAATGCAATTTAATAATAATGCAGATTAATTGACAGAATAATGACTTGTTACAACTCAACAGAGCAATGCTGTTGAATGAATCTGCCAAGTAAACGATTCATTAACTTACAGAAAGTGTCATTTTGTAAAAGAATCATAAGATTCAGTCAGTGGGTTGAATCATAATCCCCACTACTGGTCATGCATAAGACGTAGTATATGTTTGAGATTTTATACTTGATTATGATTTGTTATCGTAGCATTTAGCAATCAAATAGTTTACACACATATATATATATATATATATATATATATATATATAACAAAAATAATTACTAAAATTTGACTAAAATGTAAAAGTGAAAGCAAAAAAATGTTATTCAAAACACAAACTATAATAGTAACTGAATAATACTATAATAGCACAACTAAAGAATTCTCTTTGAATTAGCAATGTTATCGTCAGTTAAATGCTAATATGTTTATCATCATAGTTAATTTGAACAGAGTAAATGTTGAAATTAACATCAACCAAGTTTAATAAATGCTTTAGAAGTTCAAGATTCAAGATTTTCATGTCACATACACTGTTCTATACAGAAGATAACCTGCAGTGAAATAAAAATACTGGAAAATTACCAACTGGATTCAGGATTCCTTTGGCCAAAAAGAGTCTCTTTTTTTGAAGAAATGGTCAGAATAGAAAATGATTTTATCCTCAATGAACATCTACTGTTTTTATACTAAAAATAACAGCCCCAAAACTGATGTCTATCACTAATGGATTTCATCCAAACTCAATCAGTTTCCAATTAGACGGTTGTATCTGCTAACATGCCAGCTAGATGAGCTTCGCCCTGAGGTCTCCCTGTCTCTCTGCATAGCTCCGTTTCAGGCAGAAATTGTCTTTTTATTCTTAAAGCGTGTCTGGATCTCGTGTGTTTGAGAATCTGAACATTTGTCAAGGAAACTTAGTTCTGTTGTGGCTAAAAATAGAGCCGATGCATCAGCGCACACGAGCTCTGATAAAGCCACACACGTCAAAGAGCCATGCTATCGCTCTGAGACTGCGATTACCTGTACAGTCACTCCACACTGCCGTCACCATCAAGAGCACTCGCTTTCTTTCAAGACAAGGGCTCAAAAGGTGAAACATTATTCTTCTTTTACATGGCAACCTCTGCTCTGCTTTAGTTCAGAAGTTCACGCTGTGGATTAAACTCTGTCGGCCTCGTTCCCAAATGAACATCAGTAAGAGCACTTACATTTGATTCAAGATAAATGAACTCGCATTACATACTGATTCAACTCAGTGGAGGTGATAGTAACAAAAAAATTCACAGTACCATAGTGAATGTAGGAATAGTTCTGTTTCGCTTACACTAATGTGATTCGCTGTAATCGAGGCCTCTCTCGTTTCAGTGACTGTGATAAGCGCTTCAATTTGATTCTGATTCACAGTCTCTGCAGGTTTTAATCACGTTACTGCATAATTGAATAATTCTTTAAAGATAAATGGCTGATAAAAAGCTGTTCAACATCATGATTCATTTCAGCACCAGCAAGACTACATTGAACAATTTTTTACATTTTACTAAAAATCTTTTTTGAATTATTTAAAAAAAAAATTAATAAAAAAATTATATATATATATATATATATATGTTATTTGGCACCTGTGTAGAGGCTCATGTCGATTTAAATTTTTTATTCCATTTGTAATAATATATATTTTTAAAAATGGCTTCATTTATTTTTTAAGGCTACTGGGAGTTTTTTTTGGTTTTTTTTTTTGGACACATTGCATTTGGAATACATTTAAACTTATCGGAGCTTATTATGCAGATAAATAAGTATGTGTTATTTGTTTTTTTGTCTCACTGTCAAACACCATGTGACACAGAATTATGTTTTTGTTAGGGTCATTTTTGTTTCTTTTACATTTGGTTTTGGTGGAATATCAGCAGAAATGTTTTGCCTCTTGGACTTTTTTTAGCCATTTTTGTAGGCATTAAACTAACAGAATTTTCAAAGACGATATCTCCGTTTGCGTTGAACTTTCAGCTTCGTAACTTTGCAGATATTGTTTATGCTCAAACAGCAACATTACACACTAACGTTAAAAAAGTGAAATCGCAATCAACCACCCCTTTAATATTCAACTGTTAAATGCACATATCTCTTCAGCACATTAGTTGCTGCTGTCCTACTGAAACTGGCTTACTACATTTTTTTTTATCAAACTGCTGTTCCTGCCATTTATAATAGCAGTAAACCTCTCAAAACTGTGTTGTAGTGATTTTCTCAGCCTCCTGAAGCAATAAATCCTGTGGTTAGAAACATGGTCTTTACCTTGGTGATGGCAGTGAAGACCTTCTCCAGAATGGCGTTGGGCTGAGCTTTCTGCGGCCCGTTGGCCTGGATTTTCAGACCTAGTGCACATGGCCTTGCAATAAACCTAAAACAACCAATAACAAAGAACGCTTTATTAGATTTATATCAATGCCTGCTACCTTAATTCCGAAGGTCTGACAGGTTGCATTAAAAATCAATATTCAAAGGGAACCTCTGAGGTAAAACCACAGCGGGCGGCTAAAGAAATCCTCCTGTGTGCAATCACTGCGGCCGTCTTGCCAAATCTTCAGAGACGCGCGTTAAACCGCACAGGCCAGCTGTAAGCATTTGGTCTTTCTGCAGCTGACTGGCTGCTTTTGTGAAGGTCTGATAAACATCGGTGTATTAGGAAATGATCAGAGCGACTGCATTACAGTTGGTATTGTTATGCTAATGTGACTCTATCTTGTCGATCTGATAATGAGAATGTTAAAAAGGAACAACAACCAGAAGAAACATTTCATGGGTCATTGCTACTATGCAGTGCATTTTCATGTACTCGTCTTAATGTAAATATCAAACTCTCTGTTCATGAAAGTCATATTTCGTTTATCACAATAGCAATGACATAAACAGATTATTTCACTTTCTTTGAGCAGATGATATATGAAATCAAAACAAACATGGCAATAGTGCTTATTTGTTAATCATTTCATAGATTCTTCTCTTTTTACAACCTGTTCCCAAAAATATTTTCCAAGAACATTTTGTTGTTTGTTCCCAATATTTATAAAAACATTATTTCTGAATGTTCTCTGAACGTTCAAAAAGTGTTGTTTTTTTTGTGTGTGTGTGTAAGAAACGTTTTTTTTTTCTTTCTTGGTTTAGTGAATGTTAAGGGAACATTCCATTATACAATTGTGCAAACGTCATGGGAACGTTATTTTTTAAATGTTCTCTGAACATTCTGGAACTATTGCTAGAAATTTTAAATAAGGCTTTTATTATGTTACAAAATATTTGTAATTCAAATAAATGATGTTATTTTGAACTTTCTATTCATCAAAAATATTAAGTGTAAATAAAACAATGTTTTCAACCCTGATAATCAGCATATTAAAATGATTTCTGAAGGATCATGTGACACTAATGACACAAGTCAAATTCAGCTTTACATCACGTGAATAAATTACATTGAAATATTTTCAAATAGAAAACAGTTATTTAATATTGTAATAATATTTCACAATATTATTGTTTTTAACTGTATTTTTAATCAAATAAATGCAGCCTTGGTAAACAAAAATACATCTCAAAGCTCAGAGATGAACTGGCCTTGCAAGTCTGGGAAAGTAAGATGTCACAAGAATGGAAATGGAGGTGACAGCAGACAGTTTTAATGAGCTTTTGCCACTTAATTAATAATGTCATCCAATTAAGAGCCCTGCAATTCAGTGCAGAAAATGCTCTAGAAATTATTCTTCTATTAAGCTGAAGAGCTGCGATAAGGTTATGGGCGGCTGGATTGATTTGCGGCCTGCGCACTGTTTGCTTTTGTGGGGCTGAAATGCCATAAATGGGCTGTTGCTCATCATAAACATTTACAGCGATTGTAGGATGGAAGAGGATGTTTGTACTTCAGATAGTGTGTCCTCTTTCCACAGAGGAAGTCAAGTGATGCCACAGTGAAGACCACGAGAGCTTTTATCAAGACGTTTCGGTTGAACACTGATGGCTTTTTATTATTTTGCAATGGTTTGTTATATGTAAAGTCAGATCCAAAGGTTTCAGCCGGTCCAGAACTGACACGGGTTAAACTTAACTCTGATAATAAAATATGTTTTAGAAGATCCGTCTTCCTCCCTAGACACAATCCCAGAGGAGACCCTGACAGTATATTTCACCTTCAAACTATGAAGAGCAAAATTCAGCTGGAGAGATCTGAAGAACTCTGTCAGATGAAGGTGAAGAGCAGATGGTCTGTGGCATACATAAACACAAAACCTGACACCGCGCCGTCCCGCGGGGAATATGTCAAAACTGCTGCTTTTGTGACATTGAAAGCCAACACACTTTCAGATGTCAAAACTCATAATAGCGCAAAATTAATGTCTAAGTTTCATAGTAGTGCTGGGCGGTATGACCAAAAATTTGAATCATGGTATTTTTCAAAATTATACCGGTTTCACGGTACATGACGGTATTTTTTTTCATGCATGACCAGGTGTTAACCATATTTTCTACTGATTGAGAGAGGAAATACTGCAGTATATTGACTTAGAATGCCCTATTTTACTGTCATGATGAGTGAATATTGTCAAAAAATACCACACTAAATAATGACAAAACATTTAACAGACGAACTATGCTCATATTTATAATTCCAAGCAATCAGTAAGCGACAGGTGCTAGGAAACGCTGTTTTGTACTCATTTATTGACGAGTCGGCTGCGCTGCGGCCAACTGAATGCGCTGCTTCTCTGCCGCTCACTGCACAGAACAGACGCCGAGAGAGGTGACACTTCTCCGGGAAAAGTCAGACCTCGCGTTCGCGGGACAGCACTGGCGAAATCTTCCAACTGAACCATAGCTAAGGTTTATACAAAAAAGTCGCTAGGTTTGTCAGTATGAATATTCTATGGAAAAAAGCCGCTAAAAGGGTCTGAAAGTTGCTAAATCTAGTGCTAAAGTCACGCTCGTGTGTGTGAGACGCGGGAGCTGATGGCAGCGGGCGGTGGATATTTGTGGCGGTCAATGCGGATATTGTGGATGAGTTCTTCTGTGTCATCACGTTCTATTAGTTCTACAGCTTCAGTTTCGGAACTTTCACGCTTAGTAACACATACAGCTGTGTCCTCACCACAGTGCAACAGTGAAAAGGGACCCCTTTCAAACAGTGTCGCAGTTCCGAACGTTGTTTAAGCGACATACACCGGTATTGCGGTACTTTAAAAATTCATATCATAACAAAAATAAACACCGGTATTCGGTATGAACCGGTATACCGCCCAGCACTATTTCATAGCTCACTGGAAAGCATGATTTACTGTTGATATCAAGTGCACACTGACTGGTTTTATCATCTAATCTCAAGCATACGACTAGTTGTCACATGGGGAAGAGGCTATATGTCAGTAACTTTTCAAAATTCAAATGCACAAAAGCTTGTTTCTCTAGCAGTGGATGTGGATGCAAACCTAACACTGGTTCTAAAAAAAAATTTAAAAAAATGATATATATATATATATTATTATTATTTTTTTTTTTTTTTT